TTTAGAGAAAGTATTTTTATTGGTATTTTTGGATTCTTCTGAGCTCTAGGTCACTCTTAATTAAGCAGTCAACAGGCAGGTCTTTACTCACTTCCCAGCCTGCCATACAAAGTACAGAAAAGAACAGTCTTAAGTATATCTCATCTTCCAGATAAATACTCTGGACTGTAGCGTAATCTGATTAGTGACCTTCCTCTGAGACCATCAGGATTAATTCCATCTTGTCTCATCACTTTTAAGTCACCTACCTGCAGATTATTCATCGTTGCCTGATCACTTATCCACATATTGTTATATACATAACAAAATTAAACCCAGCTCTCTCTCCATCATTAGCCCTTCTTTTCTGTCGTCTGTAACTCATAGTCTGTCATTGAGAAATTCCCCAGTAGCTTCAAACTCTTCCCTTTCTCTTGTTATAACTGGAATGTGGCTGTCCTTTCATGTGAACACCAGTTTCCCTCACCTACCCCAGAGACTAGAGGTGGAGTAAGTGGCCACTTTGCTCCTTTTTGTCACTTACAAATCATTTCTGTTTCTTCTTCAAAATCCAGAGCTCATTTGAAGTATAGAAATTTTCCAGAGTAGACTGACTGATGTCACCTGAAATTCTTAACCGCGTATCTCAAATGAGCAATCTTTCCATGTTGTGTGTCCTTTTCTACTATGAAAACCAACTATTCAACACCCTATCCTCTTCTCTGTTCTTCAGAAACCCACCCTCTCATGCCTGTCATTTTATGACCTTTCCTCTTCTTTCACTGAGAATAGAAGAATCAACAGAGAATTATTCCCTTATATCTTTACCACCAAATTCACCATCTCACATGCATTTGTAACCATATCATAATCATTTCCTTTTCTTCTGTACAATATATAAACATAACCTCTTCTCATGTAAGGCCAGATCTTCTACTTTTAGCATAGATCCCATCTACTAGTGCTCTGATACTCCTCTTGCATTATCAATATATATATTGTTTCTTCTGCAGTTATCCTCTTGCTCTTTACAATCATTGATTTCACTTAATCATTCACATCAACACACAGGCATGCTCTAAATCTACCCTCTTAAAAATACACTCTCGGCTGGGCATGGTGGCTCATGCCTGTAATCCCAGCACTTTGGGAGGCTGAGGCGAGCGATCATGAGGTCAGGAGTTTGAGACCAGCCTGACCAACATGGTGAAACCCTGTCTCTACTAAAAATACAAAAATTAGCTGGGCGTGGTGGTGCATGCCTGTAATCTCAGCTACTCAGCAGGCTGAGGCAGGAGAAACACTTGAACCCAGGAGGTGGAGATTGCAGTGAGCTGAGCTCAGGCTACTGCACTGCAGTCTGGGTGACACAGCAAGACTCCATCTCAAAAAGGAAAAAAAAATAATTAATATAATTATCTTAGTAGGTGTGAAGTGGTATCTTATTGTAGTTTTGATTTGCATTTTCCCTAATGGCTGATGATATTAAGCAGCTTTTCATGTATTTGTTGGTTATTTATACATCTTCCTTAGATAAATGTCAGCTTAAGTTCTTTTTTTTTTTTTTTTTTTTTTTTTTTGAGACGGAGTCTCGCTCTGTCACCCAGGCTGGAGTGCAGTGGCCGGATCTCAGCTCACTGCAAGCTCCGCCTCCCGGGTTTACGCCATTCTCCTGCCTCAGCTTCCTGAGTAGCTGGGACTACAGGTGTCCGCCACCTCGCCCGGCTAGTTTTTTGTATTTTTTAGTAGAGACGGGGTTTCACCGTGTTAACCAGGATGGTCTCGATCTCCCGACCTCATGATCCACCCGTCTCGGCCTCCCAAAGTGCTGGGATTACAGGCTTGAGCCACCGCGCCCGGCCAGCTTAAGTTCTTTACCTAACTTTTAACTGGGTGTTTTATTTTTTTGTTTTTGAGTTGTAAGAGTATTCTGCATACTAGATCTTTACCAAATACGTGATTTGCAAATATGTTTCTCCTTTTCTTCGGGTTGCCTTTCCATTTTTTGGTGAATTTTTTGCAGCAGAATTTTAAATTTGATATAGTCCAGTTCAATCTTTGTTTGTTGCTTGTGTATTCGGTGGCATATCTAAAAAAATTATTTAACCAAGTTCTATGTGTTTCTGACCTAGTTCTATATGTTTCTATATGTAACTCTGACCAAATAGTCAAACCCATTCACTCAACAGATATGTTTGTGACCACTTACTACATACCAGTCTGTACTCTATGTATTAGGAATAAAGTGATGATGGGACAGTTGTAGCAGATTGCTAGCTGATCACCAACACTCAAATTATCCTCTTCTTCTTGGTAGATTCCATTTATCCATCTCTCTTGCAGTTAAATGTGGCTATGTGAGCTCTTGCCAGAGTGGGAGTGATACATGTCCCTTTTAACCTGCCCTATAAATATTCCCGTGTGCTCTCCTCCATGATCTTTTCTGCTTCCACAATTGGAATGGAGGTGGCAAAAAGTGTTATTTTGCAAATTACCTCAGTAGGGTTGTGACAAGCATTGAATATGGATATGGTTATAGCTATGGTTTAAATATGTTCCCTCCAAAATTCAGATGTTACCAGTGTGATAGTATTAAGAGGCGGGGTCATTAAGAGGTGATTAGGGCATGAGGGCTCCTTGCTAATGAATAGGATCAGGGCCCTTAAAAAGAGTCTTCATACAACTTTAGACTAGCTTTTCCTCCTACCACCTTCCATGTGAAGACAGTGTTCCTCCCGACCAGAGGATTCAGTAAAAATGTATCATCTTGGAAGCAGAGAGCAAGCCCTTACCAGACAACTAAACCTGCTGGCACCTTGATCTTGGACTTCTCAGCATCTGGAATTGTGAGAAATAAATTTCTGATTTTTGTAACTTACCCAGTCTCAGGTACGACAATTATTTAGCATAATTTCAGCATATATTTAGTGGTCAATAAATGTTGACTTCTGTAATTATGATTACAGTCTTTGAATTGTCCAGTAATCATCTGAGATAGGAAGAAGGTAAGAAGCCTCACATAATTTAGCAGATAGTGAAATTAGGTCTGCACTCCTGTAGACAGAGTAGCAGACTTGTTAATGGTAACAGCTTTGTCTTTCTGCACAGTTTCTGTGTTGATGAACAGAGAAATAATAATCCTAAGCTATCTTAAATAATATTTAAAGGACCATAATTTGGATTATGCTAATGTAATGAAATGCAGCTTAAACCAAAAACAATATGAGAAGCTTGGTTATAGTGGTTGTGAAAATTCTAAATTATGCTGGAACATTTTGCATTTACACAACACTTTTATAAAATAGTTTTGTAATAGAATCTGACTCCATGTTTTACATTTGACGGCTAACAACTTTCAAGACCTACCACTTCCTCTTCCTGTTCTTACCTAGATCTGATAAGAAAGCCCAGGTGATTCCTTCTTTAGGGCTAGTGTGAAGGTCAAACCATGCAAGCCCTAGTCTGTGTGTAGGACACTCATACCAGCTTTACCCCTCTAACCATCATAAAAGCCAAGCCAGTTGTTTTTTTTTTTCTCTCTGTTCTCTCAAGCATTCTTGTACCTGCTTGGAAACCTGCCCTGATCTCTCCAGAAAGCCTCATTATGTGAGTAATAAACTTTTCCATTCCCTTTTGGTGCATGTATCATCAGTTTTGACATCCAAACCAAATTTTTGGTGTGGAATCCATCCTGTCACATTGAATCTGTGAACAGGATATCTAGGCACTCTTCACAACCACCAGGGGTCTTTTTTCTCTTGCTTCAGCTTCCTAACTGGCACTGCTACCTCCTGGTGACATGCAGTTTGAGCTACTGCCTACGGCCTAGCTTGTACTTTAAACTGTACTGCTTTGTGCAGCATTGGTAGGGTTCTACCAAGCCTATGCTAAAGATTTCAACAACGTAAGTCAGCAGTTCAACTAATTGACATTTCAGCCCTGAGTCTTGTGTTTCAGCCTGGATCTGTGAATTCAGATTGAATCATATGTCTCAATTCCAATATAAGATATGACTGAAACTAGGCTCAAGGATACAACTCTTTCGTTTTTACCATCAGTTGTTTCTAAACCAGCTGTTAATATTCTTTCTATAGACAGCTCAGGAGAAAGACTGAGAGTCTCTTCAATATACAGGCCCATTGGGTGGTCACTCATATGGAGGGAGAGCAGTTACTATTTGAAATGTTGAGAACACACTCCTAAAAGCAGATAACTCACTAGGAGCTTTAAAAATGCTTCTTACGATGCTGCTTAGGTCACTGTCACAAAAAAGATTTTGATCATCAGAGTTTTAGGGAGAAACATCCATGACACCCTTGTGGAAAAAAACAAGGGATTCATTCAACCATTTTCATGGAGGAGTCCCATAATCCTGATATTGACTTGATATGAGGTTCTCTGAAGGAAGAAACTTGTATGAATAAGGTAGAGAGGAATGTCCATGAATTGTATCCAGTACCACACACACACACACACACACACACACACACACACACACACACACCCTGGGAAAGTTGTCTGGTAGAGGCAAGTGTTGGAGAAAAGTGAGATAACTCACATCTCTATTGAGACTTAAATATGGGCACATTGGCTCAGAAGGATTTTAGATAAGGCATACAAAATATCCAGTATTGGTGAAGGCTGGGAAACAACAGAATGAATGACTGAGTGAGGTAGCTATGGGGAATGGCTTGGGGAAAACACCCTTCTAAGCCATGTGACACACCACAATTAAACTAGAAGAGATGAAGAAGGATGAGAGATCACTTTAGAATGACCCTTAGTGGTGTTGAGGAAGCTCTCTTTTTTCTCTAACCAGACCATTTAAACTCCTCTGTACCCTGTCCCTCCCACCATGGAATTGTCAGGAGTGGTGCTTTGTGATGTCTAAGCCATGGAGTTGTCAGGAGTGGTGCTTTGTGATGTCTTAGCCACCCCAGGGCTACCATTGGCAGAGGAATTTCTTGCTGGCCAATCAAAACTGAAGAATGGCATCTCATTGTCCAGAGGAGTATATATAGAGAGAAATCAGGAGGCCTAGGGTAGGCTACTGTTGCTCTAGGGTGTCAGAGATTAGGAAAAAATCAAGAGCAGCTCTGAGTTACTGTTGATCTAGCATGGCAGAGTTCAGCAAAGAAGAGGAAGGCACTAGACGGTACCATTGTGCTGAGATAGAAAATGTCCCTAAAGAAATTAAGGAGGCTATAGGCTACTATTGCTCTAAGATGGCAGAGCTTACCCAGGAGCCAAAAACGGATGTAGGTGTCCGTTGCTATACTCTCGCAGAAGACACCGAAGAGGAAGGAGAAGGTAGTTCAGACATGCCTGGACCATCCACAACCACAGGCGAAGAAAATCCCAGCATGAAAGGGAGGAAGAGAACTACTTGTGAAGCTAAAGATGGTGGAAACGATGAAGTCAGTTATCCCTAATTATGTGACTCTCCCTTCCCATTGATACCTAACCCAAGATTCCTACCTTGTCCTTACCTGGCACAAAATCTTTCCTCCACCTGTACTCATCATCACAAAATCTCCCTTCCCACACATTCCCCGTCCACTTCTCCATATTAATGTCTCTTTTGGCTCACTCTGTTTTTCTTCCAGTTGCTGAAAGCAGCAAAGAAGATAAGAACATTCATTCAGCAGAATTCAGAGAGACGTAAAGCGGGCCAAAAGTCAAAAGTAATAGTTTTCTATCAGAAGAATACTAAAAACGGGCGTGAAAATAAACCAAATGAGGATGAAGAGAGTCAGGTGGAATCCCCCACCTCAAGTGATGAGGGCCCATCATCCCCCACCTCAAGTGATGCTGAGAGCCCCTTGGAAGACCAAGACTTGTCTCGTCTCTAGGTTAACCTCTAGAAATGATCTCCTGTGCAGAGAAACGAAATACTGCACCAGGATTCTTGGATGTTGATGATTAAAATTCAACCAAAAGATTCTGAAAAGCTCTGTGTGTCTCTGTGGTGTTTTCTAATAATGGGGAGGGAAGGAAAGAAGGGGAAGAGCATGTGTATGAGGAGGGAGGGAGTTGTGAACCTTCCAGGTTATGAGACAGGCTGGCAGCCAGTTAGCCAGACATTGGGATTAAGAACTAGATGAGGAATGAGCACTGAAGACAAATTTCCTGCTTAATACTTTATCCCACAGTAAAAGAGGAAAAGGAATTGATGTTTCTGTGTGTGGGGGAGGGTGGCGGTGAGGGTGTAGATAGAGAGAATTGTGATGTGTTGTGGGGTGGTAGTATGCAATAATGAGTTTGATTCCATTTTTGATGTTTGTCTGCCACCAGACTTTAAGCTTCATCTCATTCCCTTCTGCCCCACATCCGGGCAAGCTGATAAAAACAGCTGGAGAGTTACTGAATTTAAAATGGAAATGAACAGGCATGCCTAGCCTCAACTATTGGAATTATTCCCTTGACTACAATCCCCATACCCATGGCATCAGTTCTTTCCAAATATCCCCTACTGATCATGGACAATCTGACCTAATGACTAATAAATTAAAATGAAGTCTTTGGTACTTGTAGTCAGCTTGAAAAATGGGACCCTATGGACTGCCTCACCCAGTTAAAATAAGTTAATAATTAACATCTTCCTCAGTTGTTTTTTTAAAAAGCCAAATCCAAATTAAAATAGAATCTTCAGTAATTGAAGCCCATTATGTAAGACCTATTTAGAGAATTAGACCTATATAGATGACTACCCTCACTGCTTATGCATTTAACAGCCAAATTTGGATTGTTCTTAAATCTGGAAAATATAAATGGTGCCTCAGTGTATATTACTGTAACCTTAATGCCATGGTCCCCCTCATCAGGTCTTCATACCTAATATTATTCAAATTACTGATTCCATCCAATACGTAGCTGGTAAATAATTTGCAGTAATAGCAAAGCATTTGGCTAAATGTTCTGTTCAGTTCCTGTTTCAACAGCCTCTCACCTGCAGTGTACTTACCTTCACCTTAAAAGGGACACGATACAACTCTACCAGGGTACTTGGTGGGGTATCTTTCCACTCCTGTCATCTCATATAATCTTCACAGGCAGAATGTTAACTATATCTAGATTTTCTTAGATGCTCAGGTATGACATTACACTGATGACAACCTCTTTTGAGGAGTTTCCTATGACACACTTCTTCAGGACATAAAAATGTTAGCAAAAAAAGATCACAAAAAGGAAATCAGCCATTGCCCCCACACGTAGTACATAGCCACACTACATCAGTTAAATTTCTGAAAATTATTTGGTAATCTGAGGGATGCTCCAATCCAATAGTGTCAAGAAAAAGCTTTTAGTCTCAGCACCCACATTTTTAAAACAAGTCTAATATCATTTAGACATTTTTGGATCCCAGAGGTAATATATTCCCTACATAGAAATTTAAGTTTATTTATTCTTTCACTTGTAAATTGGTCCATCTTGAATGAGGCCACGTGCAACAAAAGGCTCTGGAATTTGTCTAAATTGCTATGCAGCAGGCACTTGTGTTAGGGATCCCCAGAGACTTCTTCACTAGAGATTTTAGCAACCTCACTTCATACTTACTGAAGTCACCGGACCAGCAATGATAGCCATTAGTTGCCCATGGGCTTCTGATACAAGGAACTGCTCTGTTTGGCTTTATGCTATATGCCATTAGTGTGGCAACTGGTGGCAACCTACTGGGTTTTGACCAGAAATGTAAGCTCTCTTAGGCCCTGAACCTGTGACCCTCAACATCTAGTTGTTCATTATACCTGGGTCATGGAGGTAGCACTCAGTTCATCATGGTTAGTGACACTTCCTCACTACAGGATGGAGCCACACCTGATTTTTCTGTATATTCCCACCTACAGGAGATGGTAACTCCTCTGTCCTCAGTCCCTCACTAGATTCCACAGTTCTGGAAGAGGACATTGTTCTCTCAGACTCCTTGGATAACCAGGGAGTCCCTTAGAATCAACAGAGTGACTACCAAAGGGTTATCATTCACTACTACCGATGGCACTACCACCCTCACCCCTGACAGAGCTTGCTTGAGAACTGCTGCTTTTCATATCTCAACCAGGATTTCCATGATAAAGGACAAAACCCAAGATTCGATCGGCCAAACTTTAAACAGTCATCTTAACGCTGGATGTCCTGGCCAATAATTGACCTCATCTGAACATTTTTAGAGACCTTTGAGCTATTGTCAATGGTCTGACTCTTTGGTCTGGCCGTCGAGAAAACAATTCTTTATCCAGAGTTGCCCCATTTTGGGTAAAGAACTGTTGAAATATTTTGACTCATAGATACCCCAAATATAAATTAAGATTATACATTTCTCTGTACATATCAAAACCACAATACCATGTTCTTACCAAGGCACTCCTTTGTGTTTGCTGTTCTAGACTTTGGGAGTTCCAGACATCATTGATAGTGACCAAGATACTCATTTCACTTTTTAAAACAAACATTCAGTTCTTGAACAAGGCAATGGAACTTATACCTTCCTTGTTGATTTTAGGCAGCAGGCCTCATAGAATGTTATGTAAACTAGTTCAAAATAAATACAACATGGGAAATTTCAGTTGTCAGTCAAGCATCAGGGCTGAAGTTTCATATAGTCTTACTCTATTTTTGTTGTTTGACTCATGTAAATAATAATCTTTATTGTGCCCTCTTGGTGCATGTGTGGCACCATTAGTCTTGACTTTAAAACCAAATTTTGAGTGTTGGGTATAAATTCCACTTCTTCAGGATGACTACAAGAAGCTCATGTACTGCACACAATATGCATTTATGCATATTATGTATTTATGCATTTATCTAATATATGCATTAATGGTCATATGAATATGACACTTTATTGTACCAATGTCTCAGGAAACAAATGTTTTATGGAGTGCCTGATATGTGTCAGACCTGTTCTAGATCCTTGACTGACAGTTAAGAACATACAGTCTATAGTTGCGCAGTTGTTTAATTTATATTTACATGGGCAAAGGGAAGGTTGAGAATGGTAGTAGTGGGACAGAGGCCAACATTTTACTTAGGAGATATGGGAAAAGTCTTCTCTGAGGAGTTGACTTTTAAATTCAGAACTAAACAATGGATAGAATCTGCTATGTGAGGACTTCATAAACAACATCTTAGATAGAAAGAAGAGCAAGTAGCAATGTCATGAAGTAAGAATCAGAACAATGTGTTGAGGAGCAGCAAATAGGCAAGTATGCCTGGATTAGAGTGAGAGGAGGAAGAATGGAAATAGACAACTGAGACTAGAGAGCTTGGCAAAGATGAAGACACGTAGAGACTCACAGGGTAAGAACTTGGGTTTTATTTTATATGTAGTGGAAAGCCATTTTGGCTTTGATGCATGATAGTGATGTAGATTGATTTAATTTTTAGAAATATCACTGGATGTTGTGGATTCGATAAGACCATAGACGTGACAGATTGTAGCAACAATGCATGTATAAGATAATATTGGCTAAGACTAGGGTTGTAGCAGGAAAAATACAGCTTAGTATCTAACATAGCAGTTTAGAGCATAGGCTTTGAAGTTTGACCTCATTTTAAAGCATCACCACCTAAAGGTTATTTGTCCCTGAGCAAGTTCCTTAACCTCTGTAAGGATTAATTTCCTGATGTATAAAATGAGATGATAATGGTATGCCTCTGTCTTAGGGTCACTCTGGAATTGAATGAGGTAATTTATGTAAAAAACCCGGTACTATATTAGACACATAATAGGCACTTGATAAATGGCTACTGTTATTGACATCAATAATATAAATAAATACATAAATAAAAGCAAGCTACTTCTTGATTTTCTTTGCCAACTCTCCAAGAGCTAGCATGTCATGTATAAGCTGCTGTTAACTCATGATTACTGACCGCTTATTTGTTTTTATTGAAGACACAATTATCTTTGGTCACCTGTGCTCAATAGCTAGGCATTCTGGTACCCTTATGTATTACTTCATTCTCACGCTGCTATGAAGAAATACCCAAAACTGGGTGATTTATAAAGAAAGAGGTGTTAATTGACTCAGAGTTCCACATGGTTGGGAAAGCCTCAGGAAATTTTCAGTCACAGTAGAAGGGAAAGCAAACACATCCTTCTTCACAAGGCAACAAGAGAGAGGGAAAGCAAGCAAAAGGGAAAAAAGTCCCTTACAAAACCATCAGGTCTCGTGAGAACTCACCCACTATCATGAGAACAGCATGAGGATAACTGACCCCATGATTCGATTACTTCCAACCGGGTCCCTCCCACAACATGTGGGGATTATGGGAACTACAAGAAGAGATTTGGGTGGGGACACAGCCAAACCGTATAACCTTAGATACTTCATAATAAGTGGTTGTATATGGCTTATGATTAACTTATAAAATGAAGTTGTGGTAGTGGCTGATCTATGACATTTTCTCTTTGGACCCGATGAATCATCATTTGAACATCTCTCCTCTCCAACCTCCTTCCACAGGCCTAAATGAGCAACAACCCATATTTCTCACCCAACTGCAAACAAGTTGCTTAACTTGTTCAGATTTCTTTGGTGATTTTTTTTCCTGTCAAATGCATATTTGAGTGTTTCTTCATTCAGAAAACAATGTTTCCCTTTTTTAAAGCCAGGTCTCATTTTATTACTTTCAAACCAGAACTTTCTCTAAATATCTTTGTCCCTTAGTACTTTTAGTTGTTTCCCCCATGCTTTTCTCCTGGATGTCTGATGTCTCACAAGATATGATGGTTTTTATAAATGGGAGTTCCCCTGCATAAGATTTCTTGCCTGCTTCCATGTAAGACGTGATTTTGCTCCTCATTTGCCTTCTGCCATGATTGTGAGGCATCCCCAGTGATGTGGAACTGAGAGTCAATTAAACCTCTTTCCTTTATAAATTACCCAGTCTTGGGTTTGTTTTTATTAGCAGCAAACTAATACAGCAACAGACTAATACAGCAAATTG